CCCCAGCCCCCCACGAGGCCCCGGCCCCTCACCCAGAATGGGAAATGAGCCGGCGTCAAAGATGACGGGCTGCTCCTGGATCGTGACTGTCTGCGGCACCGCCGTTCCAGGGACCTGCGGCGGCAGGAAGGCAGGGACGTGTTGCAACGCGCGGCGCGCGAGCCGGGCGCATGGTGTACGGCGGCCAAGGCAAACCAGGCCGCGGCAAGCAACGAGGACACGCAGCACACGCAAGCCCGCGGCGTAATGTGTACATACACACGTGCACACGCGCGCGCACCTGCTGCAGCTGCAGGTCAGCAAAAGCATCCGCAAAGTCCCCAAACGCCGCGCCGCCGCCGCCGCCGCCCGGCTGCTGCACCACCGCCGCCATGCCGCGCAGCAGCTCCTCCGTGAAGTCCCCCTGCGGCTGGTATTGGATGATCTGGTTCTCGCTCGTCGCCGCGGGGCCCGCGACGGGCTCGTCCGACTCGTCGCCGCCGCTGCCGCCGGCGCCGCGGGCGCGCCGCTTCTTGCGCGCGCCGCGGCCTGCGATATCACGCGCGCATGTGCCCGTCCATCGTACGGGGCGGGGCAGCACGCGGGGGTTATCCGCTGGTCGCAGGGAGCATGATGCATGTCATGTGCGCAGGGGCGCGGATCGGGCAGGTCAAGGGGGGTAGCCCTCCAGATTTTCCAAGCAACATAGCAGGCTTGGAGGCAGAGCTGCAGGCGTGGGGTGCGGGCGCGCACCTGCCGCGCGCCCCGGGCTGCTGCCTATCCGCTGCATCCCCGACTGCTGCGCCGCGGCCACCAGCTGCTGCAGCACCGCGGGGTTGTGGGCGACGCGGCCCAGGAAGTTGATGATGGTGTTCTGCCGCGACTCGGTAGCATCAAGCCGCTGCTGCAGGTCGCGCATGCGAGAGTCGGACGCCTGCAGGGGGGGCCGCAATTCGCGGGCAGGGGGGTTGCGGCTAGGGATCAGCAGGGCTACCCATTGCTGAGGGAGTTTGCTGCCACGCAAACCTACCGCCATGGGAGCCTGCCGCCCTCAGTTCACATCAGCCGCGCCAGTCCCGGCCGGCCTGCCGGCTGAGCCCGCCGCAGCCCGCCCGCACCCTGCTTCCCGCGCGGGCAGCGCGCCCCGCCCCAGCACAGCGCCTGTCGTGCGGCGCGGGACCGCAGCTGCCGCGCACCTGCTGCGCCTGCCTGAGCCGCACGAGCTCCAGCATGAGCACGTTCTTGTCGCGCTTCAACGAATCGATCTCATCCCCCAGCCCGCCATAGTGGCCCAGCTGGGGCACGGCGCGGCGCGGAGTGCGGGGTGTGGTGGGGGAAAGGGGGTTAGCGGAAGCTGGGAGGCTTGTCAAGGGCCAGGGACGGCCTTTCTTTCTAGGGGAAGGCGGTGCCCAACGTGAATGAGCGAATCGGCCTCAACTGCGCCAAGCTGAGCGATGCCGGCCCGTCACGAGTGGTGCTGAACGTCTGACAATCCCAGCACGGGGCTGCTTGCAGCAGTGCCCCGAAGCGCCTGTTGCTCTCAAGGCACCGTTCTACCGCGCCGACGCCGCACCCCTCCGCGCACCTCGATCGCCCCCTGCCCCGCCGGCACGTGCGCGCTGCTGCTGCCGCCGGCTGCGCCGCCGCCGCCGCCGCCGCCGGGGCCGGTGGGCTTGCGGCGGTGGATGTCCTTAAGCAGGTCCCGGCGGCCGCGGATGAAGTTATCATTGGCAAACTCCCACCGGTCAGGATCGACCTTTCGGAAGCCCTGGGATAGGTATTGAAAAGGGATAAAAACTCGCAACCAACATTCAAAGTTGCAGAGGCGAGGAGGGCGCGCCGATCAAGCACCTGAGCGATGCTGGTGGCAGGCGTTTAGATGCGACAGCAGATGGTCGTGAGGCGTCGCTCTGCCGCTTTTAGGTGGGGGAGAGGCAGGCAAGACGCGGTAGCTGCAGCCTGCAGGCGGTCGCAGCCTGTGGTGCTCACGTATGTGTTGAGCTGCCGCACGAAGCTAGAGAAGTTGTTGTGCTTGAAGTGGCGCGGCAGCAGGTCGCGTGAAAACTCAGGCGGCGTCCAAACAACGAAGCTGCAGGCGGGGAGCGGCGAGCGGCGCCGGGCAGCGGGGGTGTCGTCCGCTGCTGTGTAGGGCCAGCGCGAACGGAATCGAAGCATGGGGCTGCGGCACGCCCTGTATGCCTTGCGCAAAGCACGGATGGCGGGGCACCAAGGAAGATTGGCCTCGGCATGCAGGGCGCCCTGCTGTCCTGCGCGCACCTGGCGCCGTCGGGGCCCCACGACACGACGGGATCGGTCGAGGGGTCGTCCACCAAGTCATACCTGAGGAGCAGTGTAGCAGGCGCGCGGTCGCTGCTAGTGTTGCTACTGCTGCCGCCACAGCAGTGTCAATCAATACCTTGATGAGCGCGTGCTTACCGCAAGGCGCGGCACCAAAGCGCCAGCGGGACAATAAGCATACGCGCATGCGCTTGCTGCTGCGACCCGCCGCAACGCGTGGCGGGCTCGCAAGGCGCCGCTCTCACGTCTTGGTGAGGAACGGGGGTGGCTGCTGAGCTCCTCCGCCACCTCCTTCGCTCTGATTACGTCGCGACATGCCGCGTGCACCGCGTCCACCCTCGCAGGAGGGACTGCCCTATCGTCCAAGCGCCCAAGCGCCCAGGCGGGCGTTGTGTCGATCCACTATCAGCACAAAGGTGCTAAAGCCGAAGAGCTGGCGCCTGTAGAGCCTTGTCAGTCAATCGAATTGATGTGAGGATGTGCTGCAGCTTTGGATGATGTTTGGGGATTCTCACTTATGAGAAGGTAAATTTGTGGCTCAAATCAAGCGAGGACGTGCGCATTCCACGCAAATGCAGATCACCCAAAGTCGCATAAATCAAGAGACCGCGCCTGCTGGACACTCTGTCGCCATAGTGCGCGTTGATTTCGCGTTAAAAAGCGCAATTGAAGTCTGAAATGCGCTCACGAGCAGTTCATTGGCAAGTGTGCAACACCGGCTGGGAGAGCGGCACGATTGACCAGAAGCGGCAACGTGACCGAGTGGACACGTGCATCCGCCTGGTGGACACCGCTCATAACTATAGTCGAACCTGACCCGCTCGCGCTCCTGCGTCCAGTAATCCACATACCACACGCCACTCGCTGCTATGGATGTTGAGGTGAGGTTATGGCCCGAGCACTGGTCTTGGGGCTGTGCAAACAATCCTCTTAGTCACCTCTGACCTGGAGCACTCAACGCAAAATTTGATGTTGAGCAGGTAACAACTCCTTTAATTTGATCAATTTATCAGCAATGATACCAGCGCTGCGCCAGATGCACTGCATAGAGGGAGACTTGTGTCAGTTGTTGTGCAGGTCGAGAGGCAGGCATGCCTTCCTGTTCCTTTCCACGCCCCTGGCCACCTGCAGGGGACGTTGCTGAGAGGGAAAAAAGATACTGCAGTGACCAGTGCGGAACTTGCAACAAGGAGATCAAGCAGCTTGCAGTACAGCTTGATGTTTGGGTGCCGGCGAGGTTGCACTTTCAGGGTCCTTGGGGATGGCGCCGTTGGCATGGAAGACCACGGCGGCCCGATGGGCTGTGCAGGGCGACGCGGGTGATACCAAAAGAAGCAGACTGACAGCATGCTCTCGCTCTGTCTCGGCCACCCATGTCTGGTCGCCACGAACTACCGCCCATGGGCACCTCACCTGGCCGCCTGCCCATGCAAAGGCGGTAACAGACTAAGAGATGTGCGCCGTGCACTGTGGTCTGCTCTCAGAAGGTGCATGCTGTGCAATTGATTTGCTCTCTGGGCTGGGGAAAACGCTGCGCACGTGGCAGATGGCGCAAGTGCTTGCGCCATCTTGCAGCAGCAATGGGCAGTGCGCAGTGCACCCAAGAGAGCACCATACCAGTAGCCAGCAAAACGAGCGATCGTGGCGCCTACCCGTTCGCTCAGCCGTGTGAACGTATCACTTCAAAATGACTGTTTATCGTATATAACCTTCGCCGTCGACGGCAGACACACCACTCCACAACATTGACCACCCCGCAGCCTCTGAATAGCCGCGCCAGACACACAGATCTTCTGTGAAAGCCTACAGATACCCTTGCTTGCCAACTTTGCTTCGTAAGCAAGCGCCCGGCAGCCGGACAACATGAGAGTAGCGGCCTGGACCCCGCGAGGATCGTACGGAGCGGTGCGCTGCCTGAACGGAGCTTCGAGGGAATCGTATGGTTCCTGATCGCCCCAAGTGGGAGGCCAGAGGGGCTTCGAACGGGCGCGCGGTGTTGCGGACCAACAACGGCTACCGCAGCACCAGCGCTGCACCCATGCTGCTTGGGGGACGGCACCTGCTGGCGTGCGAGACATGACCTGGGACACGCGCAAAGGCCATATGCTGCTCTATCCTTGCGCGTGATGGTTGACTGACCTTGATCGCTGTCGCTACCCCCCCCCCCACACACACACACACATACGCGGTCCAAACCCTGCCCCTGATGCGCTCAAAAACCAGGTTGCGCCAAGCAGGCAGGGGACTGCGCCAACTGGGCTACCACCTCGTAGCATCAGCAGCAGCGGCGGCGGCAGCAGCAGCGCCGGCGCCAGCAGCAGCCTCCCGCGGCCCCCGCGCAACACCGCCGCGCACGCGGCGCCCGTCCGCGCGCCCGCCGCCGCGCACAGCGAGCGCCGCGAGCGCACCCTCCGCAGCGGCGACGTCACCGCGACCAGCAGCGCGCTCGCAACCTCTCTGAGCTACAAGATCCGGCCGGACGGCAAGGCGACGGTCGAGGGCGCCGGCTCCGCGGGGCCGGTGCGCGACTTCCTAGGCAAGCTGCAGCTGGCATGGCAAATCTTCTTCCCGGACAAGCCCCCGGAGCTGACCCCCAAGGACGGCGCAAAGCAGCGGCTGCGCATGATCCTCGTCGCGGACCGCTGCGGCATGAGCCCCTCGGGGCTGGCGGAGATGAAGAAGAACATCCTGTCCGCGCTCGAGGAGTTTGTGGACATAGAGTCCGAGTCGCAGATTGACGTCAGCGTCAGCGTGGAGCCGGATGTCGGGACCATCTACTGCGTCGCCGTGCCCGTCAAGCGCGTCAAGCCCGAGGCGCAGATGGGCTTCGAGGACGAAGTCTCTGTCGACGGCATGCGGGTGGTCGAGTGGGACCCCCAGGATAAGGAGAGCGACCCATCGTCGCGCTTCCCGATGGGCTGCTGATAAAAACTGCTGACCGTCGACAATTATACACGGGGGGCCCAGTCCGCCCCGCGGCGGGGCCGGCCGGCCCCCGTTCCCTGCCCTGCGCCCTGCTGCAGCGGCCCCGGCCCGCGCGCGCCCGAGGCGCGCGGGCCGCGTGGGCCGCCGCCGGGGCCCGGACCGTGATGCGTGGCAGAGGCCCCTTGGCCGCAAGCCTTGACCAGTCCAGATCAGATATGACGGCGGCAAAGTCCTTGGTCCCCTTGCACCCTTTGGTGGTTGCATGGCGTGTGGGAAGCGAGCGTTCCTGGCCCGTGCTGCGAAGCCCGGTTGCCGTTTGTGCTGGCGACATTTGTTGGGGACGGCACGTCACCGGCTAAGCCCACAGTTGACCTGGCAGATGACACACGACAGAGCATGACATAGGTGGTTGCTTACCCCTGACCTGCATTGCCTGCCTTCCTCGTCCCTCGTCCCTATCCCGGCACTGGGTTCCGTTTTTCTTGTACCGTTACCGTATGGAGCATCACGCCTTCTCAACCTCAATTTCCTGGGCTGTTGTAAGACTATTCAAAGAAACAAACAATTCAGGTATCTCAGTCCCATGCGGCTTGAACAGGCCAGCCTTGGAGCCATCCCACTGTGGTGTGGACTGCTGCGGAATTGTCGCACCTGCGACGCAGGTGCCGCAGTACCGCACGCATTATGACGCACGACGTGCCGACCTGCCCTGAAGCCTTTAGCGAGAACTTCAGCGTACTGGCGAATCTTAGCTCCTTGACGTAACAAGAGGGCAAATCTAGCTCGTTTTGAGATCATCACGTGATCTAAAGCTCGTATCCTAGGCACTTTTGTTTGGGCTCACGAGTGCATGAGCAAAAAGCGATGGCACAAGCACATTGGCGACTAGTGGTAGCAGCGGCCGCTGCAACTAGGCAGATGGCAGCACCCACTGCGGAAGCAGCAGCAGCAGCGGTGTGCACAGCGCCTGCAGCACTGGCAACCGAGGCTGAGGCAGCAGGCGGCTTGGAATCGTGTGCGCAGCACGACCGACGAACTCAGCGAGGAAAGCGCTTCTTAGGTGAGGTCACCAGTACTGCATGCGCAGCAACTCTCTTGCAGGCTGCTTCGCCCTGGCTGCAACATTGCTTGCAGAATCTTGCCGACGAGGAGATGGCCGTTTTTTGCAAGCAACCAATCGACTGCACCTGCACGCAGGCACCTACGGCCTCAGCCGGCAGCGGCCAAAGGGCGACGGCAAGCCGATCAAAATTCGCATCCCCAGGCCGCCGAGGCCATCGCCGCCGGCCCCGCCTGTCTGGTTTTTTGGTGGCGAACATGCACCGGAGCAGCTTGGCGCCTAGGAGAGCGACGAATCACTTTTTTAGTGACAGCAGAGTGGATTTTCAACCTTTTTTCGACAGTGGCAAGTCATTCAGCGGTTGCGCTGCCGACGGACGCCCGAAAGGGCTGTGCCGCCACATGCATCAACCGACCATCTTTTACCCGCTGGCTTCGTCGGCTTTGAACGACAGCGCCTTACTCGCTTCGTGACGCTTGTGTTTTGAATTCAACCAGCGTACGGCGTGATGCATTGACCAGCATCATGATGATACAACTCTTTCAATTTCACAATTGGCGGTGATGCACGTAACATGGAGCCGATGACAAGGCAGGGGCAGGGCGGCAGATGACGCAGCCGCCAGACCTCACCCTCGACCGCCGGTTCGAATCAGCAACATTGCGGACGCCCACCAGTGAAGAACAAAGGGCATTGCAAAGGCCCCTCGCCACGACATTAAGAAGCGAGCAGCACCATGCCACAGGCCGTAGTCAACCCAGCCGATCAGTATGTGGGCCTGCCCACGCCAGCCAGCCGCGCTCGAATTCGCCGGGCCTCACTCCACAGTGAGCACGTTGACCTCGTTCCCGCCACCATCCAGCTCCTTTGGCCAGTCCGCCGCCAGCCGCCACTCGCCGTCCACCTGGGAATAAAGGCGACCAGCAGACGGGGTGGGGGGGGCGGTCGAAACATGGCGGCGCGTCCCGCGCATCGCAACACGGCTTTGTTGAGAGACGCAATGAGAGGCGTCAGCGGGACTACGCGGGACGGCATGCTGAGGCACCAGAGGTTCAACATGACTGCGCCCTGGCTGCACCCACCTGTGCTGCATCAACCCCACCCGTACCAAACCCCTGTTGTCTCAGCCCCGTCTGTGTGGCCGCCACACCGCGCAAAGCACCCATGAAATGGGAATCCCGAGCCGCAGCCCTGCAGCATCCGTTATCCGCCGCCTCCACAGCCAGCGGTCATCGACCCCAAACACAACCGCCCACCAGCAGTTTGACGAGGTAGCGGCCGGGCCGCAGCAGCAGCGTGCCCTCGAACCGCGCGTAGACGCTGTCGCTGGTGACATCCTCCGCTGACAGCTCCTGGCCGCGCGTCCAGCCGTCAAAGTCCCCCATCAGCACCACCTGCAGCGCGGTGTGATGGGTTCTGGTGTTGGGTGCAGTGCTGTGGTACAGCACAAAGACGCCCTTTGTCCTATGTTTCGGTATCGCACACCAACCCCGCCACTGCTCCTGGTTGCAAGGCGGCCGTGACAGCACACGCGGAACAAAACTATGATGCTTTCAGCCTTGCAATTCACAGTCAAAAAATTGTCCCGTAGGACATAGTGGCATGGTATGGGAGGGATGGTGGAGGATGCACGAATGGTTGCGCAAGGGGCCAACTCAGGGGCGAGGTTCAGATTCCAGATTGCAACCAGCCGGTTTAGGGCTGTACCACAGTGTTCCCAGCTGATTGCTGGCATACCAGCAAGCTCTTGGAGACCGAGCCAAAAAAAGTTGCACTTGAATGTGAGCTTGCAAGAGATTTCGATTTTCACATATGCATGCAAGTTATGGGGAACCAGACCATCTCTGGGCTCAAGTCTGCATGCTGCACGCCTGAATGCGTGCCGCACCCACCTCGTTGGCGCAGCCCACCCACTCGACTGGCACGCGGCGCACCACCTTGGACCCGAACTGGTCCCGCTGCTGCAGCACGGCCTGCGTGCGCAGTATTGCGTGGCGAGGAGCTGATGGGTGCACAAAGCGATGCCACAGGGGAAAATCCGAGCGCATGCGTGCGCATGCGTGCATACTGCCTGCCCAGGCAGGCGTGCGGCTGCTTGGCATTGTGCCTTGATGCCTTCCCCTTCAAGCCTGGAAGCTACGGTGTATGCCACATGCATCCCACTGTCGGCAGATGCCTGATGCAGTCCCTCTGCTATATCAAATTGAGACTTGCCATCAAGCAGCCCCCAGAAAGCAGCTGCCCACCTCCTCCATTGCGGCTAGCCGCTGAGTCAGCTTCTCCACCTTGGTCACCGCAGCATCCGCGTCCACGCCAAACTGCACCGCCGCGGCGGCCGACTGCGCGAGGCGCTTCGTGGTCCCAAACTCCATCGCAATCTTTTTAGGAGAGGTCAGAGGGAAACGGGTGGCGTCTGGTTTGTGGGTTGGCAGTTGGGCACGCTCCCGCACTATCGTGCTTCTGCACCGCTAGATCTCTGTGCCCCCATGCCCCAGCCTTTCGGGGGCTGAGCCAGGCCTTCGCCCACCACCCACTACATTGGCCGCCGCAGAAGCTTCAGAGCAGGCCCGCCGGCTGGCCGTGCGACCAACAAACAGAGGTGCGCAGGCGCGCCCCCGCCTTGGCGGTGTGCCTACAGCCGCCCGCCCCCACCTGTTTAAGCAGCTCGTGAGCCGCCATCAGGTCATCGTTGCAGCGGGACACCTCTGACAAGGCGGTGCAGGGGCGTTTTCAAGGCATGAGGTGCGTGGGTGTGAGTTGAGAGGGGCCGACCTGCCGCTTGGCTTTGCGCCGGAGGCAACCCTGACGCAGGTTGGGGTGATGGACCGTGCAGGTACGGTCGGGCTCTCCCCAACGATTACCGACCACTCGGCTCGTCCACGCGCCGTAATTCGAGGCCGGAGAATCGGGCGTTGGGCAGGTGCATGCCCACATGCAGCCTGGCCGCCCGCCTGCTCGCCCACACGCCCTGCCCACCTACACGCGCGCCTGAGTCCTCCACGCGCGCACGCATGCGCACAAACACCCCCCCCACACACACACACACACACATGCACACACACACACACACGCACGAGCGCGTGAGCACGCTCGCACACACCCACACTCTCGTGCGCCGCCCCACCTTCCTGCAGCGCCACCACGAACGCCTCCTGCGCCCCCATCTCCCGCGTGAGCTTATTGTGCACGCGCACCAACTGATCATACATGCGGGCGTCCACCAACCTCGGCGCCGTCCGCAGGTGCGCGTCCGCCGCGACCGCGGGCCGCTGCGCCAGCGCCTGGCTGGAGGCCGCCTGGAGCTCGCGCAGCTGCGCCATTCGCTGCTCTACCGCGCTCTGCGGCGGCGCGGAGGCCGCCGCGGGGGGACCAGCAGCGGCGACGGCCGCCTGGGCGCTGCCGCCGCTACTGCCGGCGACACCGCCACTGCTGGCGACGCCGCCGCTGCCGCCGCCGCTACTGGCACCGCCGCCGCCGCCGCCGCCGCCGCCGCTGCTGGTGCTGCTACTGCTGCTGCTGCTATTGCTACTGCTGCTGTTTGAATTGCTTCTGGTTGCGGCGGCGGCACTGGTACTGCTTGCCGCGGCTTTGCGCATGAGGACAGCCGCAGCTGCTGCGGCTGCAGCGACCCCGCCCGCTGCCTGGTCTACCTTGTGTGTGTCGCCGTCATGGCCCAGGGCCCCCGCGCCCTGGCCGGCTGATGCTGCTGCTGGCAGCGCCCGGGTGGGGGCGCTGCTGCTGGCGGCGGGTTTGCGGCTCCGCATTTTGGGTGCCCGCGGTGGCAGTTGCGGCGGGACATTGGGCTGACGAGCGGCTCCAGTGCTGGCGCCTGGCGCTTGCCTCAGCCCCCAGCCTCGGAGCATCATCTGCGATTTTCAAGGGTCAAATTGCCAGATAGACATCGCGCAGGGCAGGCCAATGGGCGCCTTGCAATGGCTGGCATCAAAGCGCTTGGCTCATCGGCACCGCCAGAAGCGCAGCAACGCACCCGCCACTGTGGTGCCTTGGGCCCGGTTCAGCCAATGGGCGCTTTGATTCTGATTATAATCCTATATTCTTGTAATCGGGACTCCCTGAACGGAATCCTTTTGCGCTGAGCAGAGCGTGGCGTTGAATGAGATCACTGCATGTAGCAATTGATGCCGTGAATTTCATTGACATCGTCGAGTAAGGACATTACTGGATGCTTGTATCGGGGGCCTAAACGATGCGCATGGCAGCGGTGGCAGCAGTGTTGCAGTGATGCAGTGAATAATTGCTTGCGTGGGCCAATCGTCTTTCGGAATCAAGAGCAGCAGGTGCAGCCTACAACACAGCTTTATCAAACAACGTTGGTACACCTGAATGAACAAACAGCCGCCACATTCGAGTCTGAACACAAAGAACGCATCGCAGATCTCGAAAGTCAAAAAGCATGTGCTCCATCGGCAGCGTGACTAGAAGACAGGCTTTGGGGGCCCCAACGACTCGGGCCACAACCTCGGTGACTCCTGCAGCCCCAGTCTTGAAGGCGGCGGCGGCACCGGTGCACCAAAGGCAACAGCAGCAAGCACACCCGGGACACATCCGGCATGCCCCGCGCGCCGTGCGCGCCGCGGCGCGCAGGGGGCAGCAGCAGGGCAGCGTCGCGGACGGCCTGATCAGCGTTCTGAAGGACGAGCTCAAAGTGGAGAAGGAGCGGTACCGCACGCCAGAGGAAGTGCTGGAGGGGCCCCCAAACGGCTTTGAGCTGGAGGACACGCCCAACAGCAACAGCATCACCCTGGCACGCAGCTTCAAGGGTGGGAGCGGCCGCACGGCGTCCGGATCCTGCTGCACTGTGGGGGGGGCACCGCAGCCGGCTTGTCGCTCGCGCGGCAGCAGCGGCGGTCTCCCCTGGAATCGGGCCCGTGCACGCCCATCCGATGTTTCACATGTGCCACGTTGCTTGCCAGCGCCGCCGGTACGATTCCCGCTTGCAAACCCCCGTTTGCAAAGTGAACCCTGACCATCTCGCGCTTCAAGCAGGGGAGGATGTGTACGTGGAGGTTGACCTGGATGAGCAGATGGCGGCAGAGGACGACCAGGTGGGGGGCTGTTGTAGTGATATGCTGCTTTGGTGACAACAGAGGGGAGTGACAAAACACAAAGTACATGTTGTCAAGGTGTTTTGAGGGTACGCTGGGGCCGCCGGCTCTTGGGCAGCACAGGCTTACAGCGGGCGCCGCACACGGCGTGAAGGAGCCCCAAATTCACGCGCCGCTTCTGTGGCGGTCGCAAGCAACCAGCATCGTGCCGGCTCTCCGCGGGCGCGACGCGGCAGGACTGTCAGCCTGCGTCGGTCCTGGCCCCCTGCAGCCGTCATGGCGCAGCATTTGACCGCCCTTTGACCGCTGCGCCTGCGCACCCTGAGACAGGACGAGGACGACGAGGACGAGGAAGAGGAGTATGTGGCGACGCCCGTCCTGTTCAGTGTCACAGTCAGCAAGGTGGGGCCCCCCCTCCATGGGGGCCGCCCGGGCTGCCCGTCCTGGGCCTGCCGTTTGCTTTAAGGAGTGGTCACCAGCACCAATATATTCTCCAACACTTCTATAATAATCAATACAGCCTTGACCCTGGCCAATCCACGCCTTGCCAGCTGCCAGCTGCTGGACAGCGCGGCCCCATCCGCCCTCAACCTTCCGGCCCCCGTCCACCCCAGCGTGTCTCCACCCCGCCCCAACCCCCACCCCTGTGACGCCGCCGCCCAGGGCGACTCCATGATCGCCTTCAAGTGCGTCGGCGGCGGCGACTACGTGCGCATAACCCAGGTCGAGCTGGACGACACGTCTGACAGCGACCAGTTCACGCCCTACACAGGGCCGGTGTTTGAGGAGCTGGACGAGACGCTGCAGCAGGCCTTCACAGACTACCTGGATGAGAGGGGTAAGTGATTCAGTCTGTCGGTGCGGATTCACTTTATTGTCTGTGCCGAATTCGTTGGGTGCTCGTATGTGTAGGGTGCGAGCGGGGGCGACGTCGTATGGGGTTAGCACGGGGCGGCCTTGACGGACTACTTGCATGTGAGGGGTTGGCGGTCGACAGCCTGCCAGGTCATGCCGGCCCCTGCCGCCACCGCTGTCACAGCAACAGCGTTTGTGCTCTTCTGCGCAAGCCATAGAGCATTTGATACCCTGCTCTTGGCCCTCTGTACTCTGACCTCAATTGCACACCACCACACAAGTGGACATGCACCACGCGCTTGCACGTGGGCGCGGGCACACACACACACACATACACACACACACACAAACACCTGCGCACGTGCCCACACATGCGCACACACGCACACACTCACATACCAATACACACACTCACAAACACTTCGTCACACCCCCACCAGGCATCACTCCCGAGTTTGGGTCCTACCTTGTTGAGCTCGTGGCTGACAAGCTGGAGGTGGAGTACATGAACTGGCTGCAGAGGGTGAGGGACTTCCTGGAGGCAAAGCCAAAGTGAGCTGACGGGTCTGGCAAGGTTATAATGTGACGTCATTACGCAGAGGCCATTGTAGCATCAGTGACAGGACTGGTGGGTGATGAGCGACAGCCGCAGGGGCGGGCGTGCGGCATGGCTTTCGCACGTAAGTGATGTTGATTTGGCTTCTTTCACAGTCCGCACTCGCCTAAAATGGCATCCATGGCCTGCAAAAATAATTGCTCAATACTGTAAGTGAGAGGTCAGTATCTGCACTCAGTATCATTATGTTGAGGTATGCATGGACAAACACACCCGCCGGCTGAGAACAGTCACTCACAACAGACAATGGTTCGCTGCGGCCGCCGGGCCAGCCGGAGCGCCACCAAGGCCACACAGCAAGGGCGCATCAAAGCCGTGGTCATCTCTCCCTGCCATGACCGGAGCTTCATACACGCAGGCAAACATTCATGAGAACTCAGCCAGCAGCCACTATGCGGGGCGTGTATCCCGGTACTGATCATTCCCGTGCATCCACGGCCCAGTACTGCGCTTTGGGGGTGATGCAAATTGGCGGCAGAGGCATTGTCAGCAGAAGAGCACAGGCGGTTGGCAGCAGGGAACACATGGCGCGACATAGTCCCACACAACTATGCCTCACTGTACTACTACATATGCTTGTAATGCCACTGTAGCTAAATTATGTAAGGCCTCAGGCTGGCACCTTGCAGTTGCACGTTTTCCCGTTTTCCGACACGGATCCGTGATCTTCACGGGCCCTTCTGCAACGCCCTAAAACTCGAATGAACGAAAGCCAATGTGGTGTTGGTCGTTCATGTCAATGTACGAATCACGTTTGCAGACCTTGACCGCCATGGAGGGTGGGGTCGTCGTTCTGCTGGGCCCCCCAGGGGCCGGCAAGTCGCTTCTCGGCGCTGCCCTGGCCCAGAGCCAAGCGGCCACCTCCTTCCTGAACGTCGGCCAGCTGCTGCGTGACCACGGCCTGCTCCGCGAGGCTGAGGCCTGCCCCACGCAGGCGCTGCGCCGCAAGCTGGCCGCCGCCGCGCGCGATGCCGTGGCGGGCGCGCTCTCGGCGCTGCGCCC